TAGGTCCAGTGCTTTCGAGTTCCAGAGTGTAAAAAGTTCTTGGTTTTAGAGACTCTGGAGCTTAGGTTGGGCCGGGATACAAGAAGTTGCTTTCGGCTTGTTATCGTTAGGGTGCGGGACTCTCCACGGTGGCGCGGTGGTAGCTTTTGGACCGTCCAAGCTGAGTACCAAGACATATCGGGGCTGCAGCAAAACAGTATCCTACATCTTCACATAGGTCCCATAGTAATGTGCGGGTCGGTTTAATTGAAGGGTCCCCCCCCAAAAAAAAAAAATCTATTTAGTATGGAGCCGGTGACGCCGGACAGGGGTCAGGGGTCTGAGTGGCAGGGAATTGGGAGGTGCCGGGGTTTGGGGGCTGGCTTGGGTGCAGGGTCTGGGTTCTGCGCGAATGCGCGGTCGGGGGTCGGGGGGGTCTGGGGATCACCAAATGCTGGTAGTAGTACAGTAGTAGTACGATAATAGTACCGTAGTACAATAGTAGTACAGTAGTAGTACAATAATAGTGCAGTAGTACAATAGTAATACAACAGTAGTACAGTGGTAGTACAATAGTAGTACAGTAGTACACTAGTAGTACAGTAGTAGTACAACAGTAGTACAGTAGTACAGTAGTAATACAGTAATAGTACAGCAAATAAAGCCAGTGAGCACATTCCCCCAATAAGCAAAGCATAAAGCCAGCGCCTGAAACCCTAAACCCTAAACCCTGAACCCTAAACCCTAACAAACCCTAAACCCTAACGAATCCTAAACTCCTAAACCCTAACAAACCCTAAACCAAAAAGCCCTAAACCCTTCCCAAAGGGGGTCTGTCCAGATTCGACCCAAAATTGAATTTTTCATACAAACTTTAGTACTGGAGAGGCCTTTGTCGAGCAAGGGTCCAATTCCCAATTCGGCGGCTCACCCTAGCAGCCCCCTCCAATAAGCAAGGCATACAGTAGCAGTACAATAGTACAATAGTAGTACAATAGTAGTACTGTAGTAGTACAGTAGTAGTACAGAGTCTCATTCCTGACGCCCCAATAAGCGAAACAATTCTGCAAGAGATTTTCGGGCTTCAGGGCCAGGGTTTTAGGGTTGCGTGGGGGTTTAGGTCGTGGCTGCCTTAAGATTGACAATCAGCAAATAGCACAGCCCCGCCACCAAAAAATCACCCCCGCCAAAAAAAAACGCATTAATTAGTACCCCCAAATTTTTGGTCAGATTCGGAATTAGCCCCCGAGCCGACGCATTAAAGGAGCCTATATTCCTAAACCGACCCCCACATTAGTTCCTTTTGAATTGGGGATTACCTTACAGGATTCTAAATATGAACCCCCAAAAGGAACTGCTGTGGAGCCTATGGGTAGACAGACGTGAGGATTTGAGTGTTGTGCCTCGGGTTTACAGATATCGAATGCCGGGAAGATGTCGGAGTTTCGAAGTCTTACAAGCATGACAAGCAGCCCTAAACCCTTACCCCCTAGACACTTCATCCCGTATCCCATAATCCAGAAGGCGGCCTCTGACAATACAGGGATCTAAGTTTCAGATCATGAAGGCAAGCCATGCCACTGGTTCCATGCCTACGGACTGCGGTTTGGTTGTTAAGGATTTAGGATATAGAGTTGAGTGGATGTAGGGTTTCAGGATGGATTCTTGGGTTTAGGGCCGGGCTTAGTGGGTTTAGGCTTGAGGGGTGATTCAGGATGTTGTGGGTTTGCCGAGTTTCACTTGTGTCCCTAAGCAATTCTGCAACTTTCATGTTTCATAAAATAAGTATGGGACACGGAACACAGCAGTTCCGGTGACATCTTTACAGCAGCGTGTTGCAAAATCTCTCGTCGTGGCCATGCTCAGTCTGGCAGCCACAATGAGCAAGTAATATCTGTCCCATCAAATGATGGTGACCCTGGACCGCCAAACTAGCCGAGTTTAGAGGATGTCTTGCTACAGGAAGAGCAACGTTTGCCCTGCACTAGCTTGAGCGCCCGGCTAGTGATACTGGGCCTAACCAATGAGGAAAGTATTTACTAACTTAACGCAAACCAAGCACCCCACTCACGGCAGGTGATCGTTTAAATAGTCGTGAGCACCTCCCACCAATACGCCTTTGGCTGAGTCTTCCCGGCTTGGAGGACAGACCTATTTCTTTGTCACCATGCTGGGACCTCCCTGCTGGACACTAGGCGCGACGAGTTGCACACAGAGTCAGACATGTGCATCAGCAGCAGCAGGAGGCGAAGGAGTAGCAGTGGGAGTCGGAGTTGGGGTTGGGGTATGTGTAATTAGGAGTGTGGGATTAGGAGTAACAAGGGCAGTAGCAGCGACAGCAGCCATCGCAATCATCCTGTCACCAACATCTGACTAGTTCAGTCGATAAGAGTACAGGAGAGCCGTTTAAGCCCCCCCCTTAAGAGCAAGCCGAAGCTGACCCAGACCTTTCACTCAATACCCACCCCTATGCGTTCACCTCATTTCTCAACCCGCCTAGTGAGGCAACTGTTCGAACCGCGCAATACACAACACAGAGCCACTATCCAAACATAACCCAAACAAAAAAATCTTAAGCAAACCAGTTTACCAAGTCCGAAACGTTGTATTTGACTAAATCAACTGCTTTCTTACTAGTTAATTCTTCTTTTGTCTTTATTAAAGCTTCTCGTATATTCAACATCACCATCGACACACTTTTAGCGGTTTCAAACTTAAAAGCATGTTTTGTCACTAGTTCTATCACAGTTTCTCCATCAGTGCTTGGATTTCTAAAAAATTTGTTCTACATTTCCTGCCGATGTGCTATGTGCATACTTAAACGTGCAAAGAATGTAACGGAGTTGCTTAATACTCTAAATTCTGGCGCTCTTGTAAAAAAACAACATCTACATCGAAGTCTCCTTCTGCTGTTAACTTATCAACTACATTAACTGTCTCATAACAGACAGTCGCCTTGTTTCTTTATTCCTGATGCGATAGGACATGACAAGTTAGGAGCACAAGCTACATTACAGAACATCGCAAGCATTGAGGACAAGTGTATGCTAGTTCATAATCATCACTTTGTATACTGACACTGTGCCACCTGTCATTCAAGTCAAGGGCGAGTGTCAAGGAAAGCAGCAGCAGTCGCGAATGGCAGTTGCCAAAAGCAAGTAGCGAATGGATATGCGCAAGTACAAGTCGCTGTGTTGATTTTACGAAAGTCAGGTTTCACAAAAACGACGAGTTTGATAAACACGTGACTGAAAACATGAGCATGAGATATTCTAAAAGTAAGGTTGAGAATAACAAGTTACAAGACAAGCAGGGCGGGAGATACATGAAGAAGAACACGTAGCCGCGGAGCAGATTTAAAAGCACATGCGAGAAATCTAATGCGGCATTTATTTTGAAGTGAAACAAGGTAAGTTATGTAGCGACTTTACAGCACGGCGATTGTGCAATGATTACGGACATCACTTCCGCAAGTGCTGTGATTGGTGTTCCTTTTGTCATGTATGCGTCCATTGAATAACAAAGAGGTAGTGTATTGCTATTTGTTTGAGTTCGGACAAGCAGAAGATCATTAAGGACATTTATGTTCCGAGAGAAGGATGCCAGTACTGTGAAACATGTGGAGAAGTTTTTCAGGAAACATGTTGAGGAACAGCGAAAACCAGTTTGTGAGAAGCACCTCACGACATGTTGAATATCAGTTCGATAAGTTTTCAGTAGCAAAAGGATTTGAAACGACTAAATTTGGAACAGGATCAGTTTGATTTGATATTCTAGTAAATATGCTACTGTTTTCCGATTAAGATTCCGGAACCGCCAGATGTGTTGGCGGGAATAATGCAGGGACTACAACAAATGGGCGATCAATCGAAGATGTTTGACAGCGATGAGGAAGGGAGTTTGTATAGTAAAACGGTTATTAAATAGTTAAGATACATAGAACGGGAGGGCACCCAGCACTAGGTGGAGGTTCATGAGAGCATAAAAATGTGTTGCTTAAGAGGGTTGAGGCAGATGAGAAAAGGGTTAAGCAATACATGCAGTGGATAGATTATAACTTGGAGACATAAGTAACACATAGTAACAAAATGGTTTCGTCAGCGACTAAAAGGACGCCGACAGAAGCGCGCAACAAGAAAATGGAGTCCCATGGAGTTTGAACTTAGATTGAATACATCTTTACAGAAGAAACGTAACAGAAAATAACCCGAACCAGAAGTAGGCGATAGTGTTCAAATTATGCGTGCAAAATGGCATTCGTGAAAAAGAAAGCACTTGAAATTGGCGAAACTTCCTGATCTGAAACAGTAAAATGACTAGATAAGAAGTTATTTCAAGACTACTACTATTTGGAGGATGATGGCAACGGCTATTTCTCGCATGAGTTATTAAAGGTGTAAACTCAACCATGGATGCGAGGGGACATGCCGTTCTGTGTTGTGGGGTGTCAATGAGCTCTGGATTTTGGTTTATGTGCACAATGCCAACTTGTGTCCACGCCTTTGTTGTACTCGTTTCATGCGTGAAGCCCTGCTTGGTAGGGACTGCACAAACCCACGCCGTGGGCGCACAAGTCTTTCGGTCGAGGCGTTGAAAGCATGCGGTGGGCTTTGTTGGATAGCGGACAGACTTGGACAACTTCGAAATGCAGCGCGAGTCTATCTGATCGTACCTGGTAGGGATATTTCGGGCACCCACCCTTCCCGATTAATGATTGCCTGCGACGAGAACAGTTTGTCAGGAAACCCATGCCTCAACAACTGTCTTCAAGACTTGTACTTGGTCCCATTGGTGTCGAGGTGGAGCCACGAATTGGTACTAACGTAGACAAAGCTGAGCAGCTCTCCTCACTGGTTTGCTGTTAGGCTTGGCTCGAAGACAAGACTGCGCGTCTGTGTTTAAAGCGCCAAGGAGAGCCGGCGCAACCGACATCCAATGCTGCAAGCAACCAAAATCTACTGGAATACTGGTAAGCAACCAGGAAGTCAAGGGCCCCATCTAGGCAGTCCCGTTGGCTCTGCATGTCAAACCAGGTTGTGGTGTGGACAGTTGCAGGGCAGAAGCTGGCCACGCTACACTTGAGAAGCGTAAGTACCGTCAGGGCATTGAAACAACATTTGCAAGGGCTTTGTGGGCAGCCACGATTCAGACAGCGACTCTTGCACCGTGACCATGTGCTGGAAAATCGTGCTTGGATGAGGGCGCTGCAAGCACCCATCGACTTGCAGCTTGTTATTGTGCCCTATACTGAAGCCTCGGAAGAACAGCTTAAATCCCTGTGCACAGCATCTGGTTCCGGTATACTTACTGTCGTTGAGGAAATGCTGCAGCTTCCTCTGGATCCGAACGCATGCCCCAAAGCACTTATCGCAGCTTGTTTCGGTGGCCACAATGACGTTGTGCGCTTGCTTCTAGAGGCTGGTGCTGACAGGAGCAGCAGGGATGGATTCTGGACACCAATGAGGGCGGCATTCAGCCAACAGCACTATGAGGTTCTCCTGCAGCTATGGCAGCCTTTTGGACTTGACCCATGGTATTTATGTCAAAAGTTCGAAAGATTTGTGTTGTCTTGCATGGTTCCAAGCCTCCTGCTCGATGTGGCGCAGATAAAGCTCGAAGACATTGGGCAGAACTATCCCATTGCGAGGGCATGCTACATTGTTGTTACAGTTTTTACGAGATCTATCGAAATCATGTTCTGGAGGTGGCCAGTCGGTTTGTTTAAGCAATTCTTTGCGAATCCCCTCAGCAGCAGTTCAATAGTCTCACATCAACTAGTCGGGCGCAGAGCGCTTGGCGTGCTGGTGTGGTATCTCTGTAGGCGTGCAGGCATCTCATACTACAAATTGCCCAGCTGTCTCATTTATTTTCTTGTGATGTACTGCAATCCATACTTCTGCACTGCTGATGTTCGCTGGCAATGATGTGGAGGTTCAACAACATAAGACACAGGAGTGTCGGTATTGCTTTGCTTTCAGCTTGAAGGTGTTGGGAGCCGGAGCTAGCTGGCAGTAGGCAAACTCTGGCTGGTTGGTTGCAGATTGCAGATGCCGCATATGAGCAGAAACGACGGGAACGCCGGAGCTAGTTGAGTCGGTAGTGCACACAGTTTGGTCTGCCGCTTGACATTACGGCTTCGCAACATGAAGTCGCAAGCTTACTGGGCGAAAATCAGTCCAAGAGGTTGGTCAGCGGGATAGCTTAATCTGTCAGATAAGGGCAAGGCTTTTGAAAGGTGCTTTGTGCACTTTGGGCTTAGGGGTTGTCTTTTTGACCTTACTGGTTTTGGATTGTGTTATCGACTATTGTTTTTGTTTTCGGAGGTGCTTTGTGTATCGCGGGTTTGAAGGGTTGAACGGTTGATTTATTAGGCGAGTTGAGAAATGGGGGTGAAAGCAAGGGGGGGGGGCATTGAATGTGAGGTCTGGGGTCAGCTTCTGCTTGCTTTACGCCTCCACCCCCCCCCGTTCCTCAAAAAAAGACGCGCAATCTGAATGATCACAGAACCAACAGCGCCCAATCTCTCAACCCTAAAGGCTTGTATGTCACGCTGCTGCTCTACATCCAACGGACGAGCACCGAGCGATTGCCTCTCTATGGTGCGCCAGGGGCCAAGAGTGAGGATGGCACCGAAAACGAAATGGGAGTTTCCGAAAATAGGGAACCCAAATATTGTACCCTTAGAAAAAGCCTCCCAAAATACGGCACCTCTTTTCGAAAACTCCAAGGTAATGGTGGCCAAGTGGAGTTTGGATTTGGGATTTTGGTGGCTAAGGGCACCCAGGCCTGTCTAGCGGCTGGGGTAGGAGACATTTCAAAAAGGGCCCTTAATAATTACCAATATTATTCCGAGTGTTCCTTATTACTGATTTTGTATAGTATGCCCCAAAACCCTACTCTATCTAAGCCCCCAAGAGAAACCTTCGCAGAATCCCTGACACGTGTGAAACCCTGCGCCGCAGTACCCTGCGACCTTCAACAGCTTCATGCCCAACGCCTAATATAGAGGCCTTAATAATTAGAAGAGGGTTTGGGGGTCGTTATTCTGTAAGTATTTATAATTCCATAATAATGGCTTTGACTGGTTCGAATTCTCCGACGGATCTCCAACTCAACAAGGGGATTGTTACAAACTCAGGTGCCTAAAGACACAATGTCTTCCCTGTTAGCATATCGCTGAGGCACGGCAGCTCCAATGCAGCAGACCAGTGGGGACATGAGGTGCCTGATGTGGCATGCATGATTGAACTTCAGGTTTTCGTGCTGTAGCTTTAGGGGTTATTTGGATGCTCTTTTGAAACAGAAGTCTGCTGCTTATCGAGAAGCCCAGAAGAGACCTCAGTACAGCTTACTAAGTCTGCCTACTTGGTCAAAATAATTACACCCTACACATAAACCCTAATCTCCGAGCCTAATCCGGGGTCCCGATATGTGTATGTGGCGATACATGTGTGTGTGTATATATATATATATATATATATATATATGTACACATACGTGCATGCATAATACATTATGCGCGATTTACAAACTGCTAAGCATGTGCGCTTAGTAATCGCTACCATCCGGTCATCGTGGGCAGCACAACATCAACTGTCGTGTGGAAATCGGCGCCGTGTCACACATGGAGAAGACCCGCAATGTGCATTTCGTGTAGCCGCTGATTGAAGGCCTCGCGTCCGAAAGAATAGCTGGTCTGAGAATACACATGGTAGGAGACCCTAAACCCTGAACCCCAAACCCTAAACCCCAAACCGTCGGGGTCTTTGGTGTGTCATTTCTACAGCCCTGGAGTTCTAAACCTAAAGCCTTGAAACTAAGCACCTATAGAGCCCAAGATGCCCTGAACCCAAGGTCCCCTGCAAGCCTCCTGCAGGAGTCCCTCCGCAAAGGGAGCGGGGCTGCGCCTTCGGGCGAGGTTCCCTGGGTTCAACAGGGTGGAGATGAGTGTTGGGGTTGTTTATCAGAGCTCTTTTATGGGAGTTTCCAAAAATAGGGGACCCTAATATAGTACCCTAAATAGTAGGATCTTTATTATGAAGACCCCAAAATAGGGTACCCCAAATTTTCGGAAACTCCCATATCGGGCCTTTATCAAGCCTCTATGAAGGCTACAGGGATGCTGGGGCCGCAGAGGGGTGGGGAGGGGGCTCAAGCTGTGAGGATAGGGCAACTTGTTAAGGAGGGCTTGTGAACGTGGACTCTAACTAAGTTAACACTTTGACCCCCAAGTTTCCGAAATCCTGCCTAGAGCTTTTCGGAAATGAGGCTGGTTCTGAGCACGGTCAAAGTAAACGAGTTGTGGGTGTCGGTCTGTTTGGTTACAGGACAGCTCCGGGGTGTCAGTGTTCAATCGCCTTGGGGCTTTGGGTTTCGGGATTTTCAGAGGCTTCAGTGCATTACGACTTCTGGTTTTGGCGGCGGCTTCGTAGAACTTTGCAGTTGTAGGACTTTGCAGCTGTAGAACTTTGTAGTTGCAGTTGCATCAAAGGTTGTGTGGGCCAGCCGGAAAGTTTACGATTACGCAGAGCGGTCGAAAGTGAGGCCTTGAAGGAACTCCTTGACACGCTTGTCCGATATCCGACTTCTTCAGGCCGTAATAGAGGGGTCTAAATAATTACCAATGCTATTTTGGTGGTTCCTTCTCATAGTTATAGTATAATGGGCCCCAAGACCCTATTCTAATTATTACGGCCCCTATATAGAACCCTGCTATAGGTCCCTTATAGACCCCTGTTAACGAAACCCTATAGTAGAAGAGGCCCCTAATATAGAACAGAAAAATATAGATCCCGTATAGAACCCTTTAAGGATCCCTTTTAACGGAACTATATAGTGGACCCTGGAAAGTTGGAACATGGATTTAGCATGATTAGTGCTAGCATTTCCTATATTTTGCCTAAACCTTAAATCTTCCCTTATAGAACCTGTTGAGATCCTTTAAGTAAACCCTCATAGTAACCCTTATATAGCCCCCTTAAACGGAACCCTAGGCCCCTATAGTAGAAGAATGAGCGCAGGTGCCCTTCTCTTCGTTGTTCAGCTGGGAAGCTGAGGCCCCCCACCGAAGTTGAGGCCCGCGATTCTTATGAGGGGCTTAAGAATTAGAATAGGGCTCCGTAGTATAGGGGCCTTAATAAAGAGTAAAGTTCCTTTAAAAGCGATCCTTAAAGGGATCTATAAGGGATCTATAGTACCTCCCCGACTCGCGTCACCTCAAAGGCACGGACCTGAGGTTAAGACGGGGAGGGCAACCTTGTGACCCAGCAAACCTGGAAAGCGCCGACGAAGTGGTCATAACGCTGAGAGGCAGCAAAACTGACCGCTTCGACAAGGGCACCACGAGGAACCACTTCCGTGGGGTTTCCCCTCTCTGCCCGGTCGAAGCCGCCACCAGGTTTTTCGGGGCTTTTCCCGCCCGCTACTGCGGAAGGGAAGAGGCAGAGGAACCGCTACTCAAGGGAGTGACGTACAGATGTTGATAGCCAAAGCTGCGGAGCACCTGGGGATGGAAGGGGCCACCGGTGCCCACTCGCTCAGGTTCGGTGGAGCTTCGGTCATTTGGGCCGCGTACCAGAATTCCGCCAAGCTCCAACGCTTCGGAAGCTGGGCCAGCGATGTCTACCATGGGTACATCTGGGACGCTAGAGCTTCATCTCAAAGGGCCAAAGCTATGGCTGAGGCCGACCGCTCCTTTAAACGGATCCTTTAAGGAATCTATACGGGCTACTTCAAGGGTTTAGTATAAGGGCCTCAATAGGTAGAATAGGGTTTTGGGGGCCCACTATACTATCAGTATAATAAGGAACCCCCAAAATAGTATAGGTAATTATTAGGGTGCGGGCGCACAGGGCGCCACGCTGCGTTCTTACTTAGAATGTGTGCGAGACTGGGGGTTTCGCATGATTTCTACAAAAAGCAGATTTGAAGGATATCACGGAAACTAACTGCATGATTACGATTAGCCATATCATCATCAGCATCATCATCATCATCTTTATCAGCACTATCAGCATCATTATAATCTTCATCATGCTCATCATTGTCTTTAACAACCTCTTTTCACCGTCGTTAGTATGTTTATCACCATTCTGCATCATATTAGTCATCATAATGACCAAGATCATAATCATCATCGTTACTCCATCATCATGACGAACGTCATCGTTGTCTCTAACAACATCATTTGCACCGCTTTTTTTCATTTTATCATCATTTTCATCATATTTGTCATCATCATACTGATTAATATCATAATCATCATGGTTACAGGAAAGTGCCATGGCCGGCTCGCAACTGCCCGCTCGAGAGGATATGCGACGGCCTGATGCTATTGAGCCTGCCCCCCCCACCCCCGCACAGCAGCAAAAACCCTTGATTTGTGCTGTACAAACACTAAAAACGCATGAAGTCGCGTGGCGCCCTATGCGCCCGCTACCAATTATTAAGGCCCCTGTATTTTGGGGTTTCAAAAGGCTTCATGTCAGGGTGTGTAAGGGTTTCGTGGGTTATATTGCCGTTCCATTGGGGTTTGAGTGGTTTGCTTGGAAGTTTGGGTTGTGTGGTTTATTTGGGAGTTTAGGAGTTAGTTGGTATTCTGGGGTCTGGGGAGTTTTATGTAGGGTTTAGTCTTCACTGTTCACGCAGACGTAGGGTTTCGGAAATTTCGGCAGCTTGCGAGACCTGTCTTGAAAGCAGTCCGTTGGAAGAAGGGCCCCGATAAAAGCACAGTGGATAACGCATAGATGCACTTCGCAAGCTTGTGCATGTCCTTAGAGCGGCGTTTGGGGTGCTCTCAGAGCAGTATCGATTGGGCTCTTCCAGGCTTCGGGTTCCTGTCGTGGCCTCTATTGTGGTCTTGGCCTTCGTTGCAGTTGGCGGTTTAGGGTTTTGGGTTTATGGGAGCAGGAGAAAATGACAAGTACTGTTGCTACTGGTACGATTCTTATTGGTGGTACTGGCAGCAGCAGTAGGAGTAGGGGCACTGCACTTCGCTGTGTGCTTCGGGGCGGCAGTAGCAGCAGTAGCAGCAGTAGCAAGAGAGTTAGAATGGTAGTAGAAGAAGAAGTAGTAGTAGTTGTAGTAGCAGCAGTCGCAGTCGCAGTTTCAGTCGCAGTCGCAGTCGCAGTCGCAGTAGCAGTAGCAGTAGCAGTAGTAGTAGTAGTAGTAGTAGTAGTAGTAGTAGTAGTAGTAGTAGTAGTAGTAGTAGTAGTAGTAGTAGTAGTAGTAGTAGTAGTAGTAGAAGTTGTTGTTGTAGTAGTAGCAGTGGCAGTAGTAGTAGCAGCAGTAGCAGCAGCAGCAGTAGCAGCAGTATCAGTAGCGGTGGTAGTACGAGGAGTAGGAGTCGGAGGAGGAGGCGGAGGAGGAGGAGGAGTTTGAGTATAACCTGTGCTAGCACAACTACCCTTAGCGACAGGAGCAGCATTCGCAGCAGGCGCAGCACCAGACAGAGAAGGAGCGGCAGTAGGTGGGTTGATGCGGATAACCTGAAGTGTGCAGGCTCCGCTTTTGCGAAGTTCCCAGCTGAATCAGCCAAATTTTGCATAGAGATGCAGCCATGAGCCAACTATGAGGCCTTGGCACACAATCGCAGTTTAGCAGGTATTCAGCTTTTGCTGCGTAGCTCTCGGTGTACGGCTGCATTTTTCAGACGGGGACGTCCGTTCACATCATCCAGAGGGTCCTAGGAGAAACAGCACACGCCATCATAGCAATCCAGTTTGTAGCACTACAGATCACAAGACATTTCAACAGAAAAACAAGCAATACGGACACGGGTAGTAAGCCCCCAAGCTGAACTGCCTAGATTCTGTTAGCAACCGCAGCAGCTATGCGAACTGCAAAAGGCAATGGATTTCGCACAGTGTCGGAAAGACATAGCAAAAGCCACGTTGGCAACAGTCTGCAGTAACAGTAGTGATCGTGGAGACCCTGAACCATAGATCATTACATTTCAGAGGCGGTTATGTATCGTCATCAGTCATGGTAAGGGGTATCCAGATTCTTCATGGCCATAGTACTCCCATATAGTCCTAAAAGAACTATAGACTATAGTTCAATCTGTACAATATACCCCAGACCCTACTCCGATCCCTATACTAAAGTAACCCTTATGGTAGCCCTTACGGACCCATGTCTTGTTTAAGCAGAATGCCCCTTTGCTGATTTGTATAGTCGACCCTTCTAGCAACCTTTCTAGACCCTTCTACTAGTTCCTAAGGCCCCCGGGATTCTTTCTATTAGTCGACATGGATCCCCAATATGGGGGCCGTAATGAACCAGGGTTCTGGGACCCTTTATAGTGTAACTGTGGTAAAGAATCCCAAGGAATAATGGTGGTAATTGTTCAGGCTTGCATATTACCTCATGATCTTGCTCAGACGCCCCCAGAAACTCTCCCAGCTGTTTGGCTTAGGGCTTAGGGCCTGACTTGGGGTTTGTGTCAGGTATTGGGGGCCCAAACCCCTACACCGCTGAAGCTGAAAATCCTCCAATCTGAAGCGCAACCCCTTGGGCCCAACATGTTTATATTATAAACCCCAAATAGTTGCAAACCGGATTGAGGACGATTAGTGCTGGGATTCCCTTTGCCCTATACATATGCATTACTCTTAGGGGCTCAGACTACTGTATGCCCAAAATTCACCTTCACGAGTTGAGGGTTCTCGTACATGAAAAGTAATAAACGACAGCCCTGTACCCTAAACCCCATATGCCTCGCACCCCATCCTTCCCCCCACCTGGATCTCCAATAGCCTACCGCTTTAAAGATTTATGTAAATTAAGGAAGTCATAAGAATTTGGCGTACTTGTTTGGGAGGTCCTTTAGTTGAAACAAGTGCAACCCCAAGCCGGAGCATTGTACAGCTTCTTATGCCTTCCCTGTTGCCCCATAATCCATACAATGCTCAGAACTAAAGCCCCAAAGACAGCTTAGAACGAAGGGAACTAGTCTTGCTTAAGCAGACCAAGAACACCTTGTAAGATCTTCTGGCACATAGTAAAGCGCTTCTCAGGCAACTCCCCAAAAAGAGACTTACTTACCACTTCACGGAGTCTCCCTCTTCTTGGCGGAAATCAGTCGTTTCCTTGATTCTCGGATTGGGCTGTAAGTTTTATGGCATTAAAGATCTAGTGTCCTGGGGTGTTCGGCCTGCAGCAAACATTAGCACAAAAATGCTGTCCGTACTATCACAGCACTGGCAGCAAAGCGCGACGGGACTTCCACTCCCCACTCTTCACCTGACATTAGAGATGGGGTGGGACTAGGGTTTAGTGGTCTTGCGAGAATGCTTTTCGGTGCATCTATTGCTCTGCATACACCGAAATGTTGTCGCAGGGCAAATACTTCTCTATACGCAGGACGATCCCATTCTCGCTTGCCACGAAATGATGAAGTTCTGTGGGAGATGGATTCCCGGATAAGCCTGCCGTCTGCTACTCCACGGCAACAGCCGTTCCTGGAGCATCCTGCATCCGCTGCTGTGCTGGTCCCGGCCGTGTTTTTTTGTCCAAGGTAGTGGAAAGATTGTGAGCGTGTTCCTTTCAGAAAGCGTGGTATGCAGACAGCAGCTTCCAATTCGTACGCTTAAACTCAAACTCCAGTAGCCAATTGATCATACCGGCTGATGCAGTGGTTGCAGAGTGACTCACTGGTGCGTGGGCACCGGGCTCCCGATTTCTTCCTAGGCGTTTCACACTATCCTTCGAGCCGTGCAGTTACGACTGCCCTTGCCACTGCACCCAGAAAGGGTTCCAGGCAGGGAGCGGGGGAGGTGGTATGCAAGAGAGATTGTGTGCCATTTTTTGAAAGTTCTCGCGCTTTCAAGTTATGCGTACCTCTTCATAGTCTTGTCCAAGCAGTGACTACCGCTACCTGTACCCTGCGTACTTACTCCGTTTCCACTCCAAAGGTTTGCCACAGGACCCCTTCCAGTCGGTAGCTGCCGCTCACGGAAGCAAAAGAGCAAGCCAAGCTTTGCCGCCTTTAGGGTTTAGTTTAGGAGTTTAGGGTTTTAGGGTTTAGTTTAGGAGTTTAGGGTTTAGGGTTTAGTTCAGGGTTTAGGGTTTAGGGTTTAGTTTAGGAGTTTAGGGTTTTAGGGTTTAGTTTAGGAGTTTAGGGTTTAGGGTTTAGTTTAGGAGTTTAGGGTTTTAGGGTTTAGTTTAGGAGTTTAGGGTTTAGGGTTTAGGGTTAAGGTACGTACAGTGGCCGGCATTTCTGTGCGGCTTGCTGGGTGAGGGTCTGGTTGGGGCTTCGCAACCGGTCTTCAGCGCTGAACTTGATGACTTGTTGTCCTAATTTTGGCAGCACTACTAATAATATCTGACGATTACTGTAATAATAACGATAACAATAATAATAATAATAATAGAAATAAACACTGATAGCAATAGCAATTGTAACGCTAATGATAACAGAATTAGTGATAATAACAAACATCGTCATCATAACAAGTGAAGATGATAATAAGAGTAAGAATATAACGATAATAATTAAAATAATAAGAGTAATAGTCAGAAGAACCAACAGCACTAATATTATGGAGCTAATCTAGGGACTCAGAGCACGGCAAGAGGCCGAACTTACTACTACAGGGAAACGCAGGGCTAACATAGGGTATAAGGATTAGTACTAGCTACATCCCTACTTTCCTGGCTAGGTCGACCATCGCCCTGATGGTTTTGTCAAAACAGGGCAGGGTATTATAGGGGTCGAAAAAACAGGAGTAGTGTCCCCTTTAGAGTCCCTAGCTATATCTCTACTGCAGCATGCCATAAACCCTACACCCTAAACCCAAAAAAAAAAACCACCTACGGCCCCTGCAGGCCCTACAAGTGGAGTAAACAAGGTGTGTAGTGTGTGTTCTACATGGGCCCACCCTGAACTGCAAGTCTCCTCGACCCTACATGGAAGTTTCCTAAAATTTGGGGTGCCTAATTTTGTGGTCCTTATAATCAGGATCCTACTAGTTGGGGTACTATTTTAGGGCCCCCCTCTTTTCGGAAACTCCCCCATAGACCATAAAACTTGAAGCCGCAGGCCTTCGGGTTTAGGGTTCAGGGTACAGGCCCTCATTGCCCAGAACGCTCGAAACCGCTTGGCTCAATGGCAAATCGAAGAATCACATCCCCTCTTTAACTCTGAAGTCGATTCAAAAGCGCTCCTTGCAGCCGAAATGGTCGGCTGCCAAGTGCGATGAAGGGGGGGGGGTTAGTTTGTTGGGGTGCCTATGGTTGAAGGTTCCAGGTGAATGATCCCTCCACCCCACAACAAGAATCACAGGGACCCTTACGACGGTAGCGGGCCTTAATACCTATAATAAGGACTTCATACGACCTATTTAAGGAAGTATAGTCCCCTACCCCCCTCTTCCCCCCTACCCGCTAAGGGTCCCCATGAAAGAAGGTCCAGAAGCTTTCAGCAATAACAAACCCAGAGACTCCAATATCCCTTGATTATGAATAAACCTCAAATCATATTAGGGATCCCACTATAATTCAAGGTATATTCCTTCTTTCGGGGATATTGGAGTCTGGGAAGGTCTTCAACCGGTGCTTCACACAACTCCAGGAGGTCTGAGGTCCTCACTGTGAGGATGAGAGTTACAAGGGCTCACTTTAAGGGTCCCTTGAAAGGGATCTATAAAGGTTCTATACGGGTATAGGGTTTAGGGCCAACTTGGAGGTTCGTGAGTAGTTATAAGTGGGTTATAAGTACGGTAAGCATAGTTATAACCCATATTAGGGGACTTATAGCCCCACTTATAACTACCCATGAACCTCCAAGTGAGGTTTAGAGTTTAGGGTTTAGGGTTTGTGGATGTCGCGTCTCATGATTATGGATGTGGTGTGGCTGGTATGGCTGCCCTGCTAAGGGGATGTGGCGGCGTTTGGTGGCAGCCGTGGGTGTCGGAAGCTCAGATGATGAACGGCAACCCGAGCACCACCGCGTAGGGGGCTTGTATGAGTTACTACCTTAAGCCGGAAAAACCTACCTTTTTAGGGTTCCTTACTATGATTTCCTTATATAAGTCCTTAAAAAGGTAGGTCATTCCGGGTTAAGGTAAGCCTGACCTTAACCCCAAGTAACCTACCTTGTAACGGACTTATATCAAGAAGTCATATTAGGGAAGCCTAGGATGGTAGGTTCCTTAGGGTCCAGGTCACAATAAATTCAGAAGCCCTAAACCCTCAGCCCTAAATTCCACAACCGAGGACTTCTAACCGCCAGGCCCCAGGGTTTTGGACCCTAACCCGTACTTCAAGGATCATGGGACTTAGTAAGTATAGGGTTATAATTAGGGTAGCTATACTTATAACCCCAATTAACGTACTTGTAACCTTACTTACTAAGTCCCATGATCCTCCAAGTAAGTTCCGAAACCAAAAACCATGGCATTTCTGATTGCTTTCCGAGCTCCAGGCAGTTCAGGTTTTCTGTATTATAGGGTTGATTGAATTTTTTGGCTTCGAAGAAAGCCCTTGAAGTAGGGTTTTTGTACACATTAGAGAGTTGGATGGGGCTTTTGGGTCTACTTGGAGGATTGAGGAATTTCGAGCAAACTATGTGCCCAGTATCACTTGTAAGCCCATTTCAGGTATTTAGGACCGAGCTTCCATTTAGGGCAGTCCTTGATCTCGAAACTGCGGAGGTCTACGGAGTCTACGTCACGTAGAGAAGCCCTCAGGCTCTGAAGCCTCGGCTCTTGCTTTGGGATAACCCTAAGGCCAAGGGGGTGGGGCTTGGGGTGTTTAGGTGTTTCAGCTCTTGTGTTTTAGATACCCCCAAAAACAGAACCCTAAATGCGGTGAAGCTCTGTATGAGGTCCCGGCTTTGGCTGCTGCTACCCTCCCATCCGCGATCGAAAAGGATGATGAGTGCCAGGATGAGACGCCACTCGACAGCAGCATTTGGAGGGGATTGAAAGAGGGATTTATTGGGTGTTCAGCAAAGCGTTTTTCAATATAGTCTTTACAGGGCTGTATACAGGGGTCTCAGAATTGTTTGGGTGTACTTGAAGGATAGCCGAAATAGAAAGTACGGCTTTCACTTGGCGAACTTCGTTGTTATTGCGTAACCCCAATAAAACTGAGTAAAGCCTCTCGAGCTAAGTCCGCTGATTCCCAAAAGTACGCAGGGTCGAGGCGGTGAATAGTACAACATAATATAGGGGCCTTAATAATCAGAATAGGGTTTTGGGGGGCAATTATACTACAATTATAACAACGAACCCCCAAAATATTATTGATAATTATTAAGGCCCCTATAGTAACATGGTGTCCTGAATGGGTTCGATTCGGGGTTTTGAACCCTGACATCAACCCTAAACCCTAAACATTAAACCGTAGGAGACCTAGTGCCCTTCCCACGAACAGATGAAAACCCCTGATATAGGGGCCGAAGTAATTAGAGTAGGGTTCCTTCAAAGGATTCGTTTAACGGGGGTCTAAAAGGGCTACTATCAGGTTTAGTACAGGGGCCTCAATAATTACCTATACTATTTTGAGGGCTCCTTATTAAAATAAGTATGCCCCAACATCAACCCCTAGCCCCGTCTAGGGTTCCTGGGCCGAGGGAAACGGTTCCCCAATGTCGGGAAACTCTTGGAATGAATTCCGGGGTGAAGGCCCTGGCAGTTATGGTTCTAAAATAGTATATTCCACATTTTGGAGAGAAGTCTGAGAGTCCCATGTAGCATCACCTCTGAAACCCTGCTGTAACTTACGCCGGACATCTCAATATGCATGCCACGAGCTTCCCCCGCGTGGATCTTGAGATTGTAAACTCCATCTACAATGGTTTGTGGGGATTTCGAGATTTGGGGCAGGTGTGCCCTGGGCGCTCTCCAGCTGACGGGCCAGAAGAAGGCTTGGCGGTTTAGGATTTAGGGTATTTAAGGAGTGAATCCTGGAAGGGGCTTCGCTAACTCCTAGCAGGATCTTTGATTCCGGGTTGAGGGTTTAGGGTGAAGGTATCCAAAGGAAGTCCGGTGAGGCTTTTCACAGCGTCTGCTTTTGAGTTCGGTTGTGCATCTCGACCTGAGAATACATGCGGCCAGCCTCAATTACATCCATTTGGGATGATGGACTTGCTGGCTACCGAGCGGCTCAGCAACTAATGCTGGCATCACCTTGATTGTTCCCCGGGTGATGTTGCGAAGGTTCGGGGGACACAGATTTTGCGCAGAGGCTTCATTGTGAGTTCGGATCTAGGGCTTTCTTTGCTTTTGAGGGTTCATGGTTCTGGCTCGGCTTTCGAGTTCCTCTAGGTTCTCGGTTTGAGAAATTGGAGCTAGGATGTCATTATAGGCATGCTTCTTGGCGTGCGTGGGGTAGTCTCGCCTTTCAGAGGCCGTTTCGAGCCTCCTGGTTGTTGCCAACCAAGACTGAAGCCAGGTCTCTGAGTTTGTAGAGGCAGAGGAGGCCGATGCCTTCGAGGTGGGGCATGAAGTTGCTGTTGCAACATGCAAGCACATATGCACTGCACTGTGCTGCACTACATTACGTACACTTCTTGACATTGCTTTACATTCATACATCCGTCCATCCATCCATCCATCCATCCATCCATGCACATACATATGTACATACGTATTTACATGCGTACATGCAGCAGACACTACATACCGACATACATACATAGATACATAGACGCATGTGTACTCGTATATGTACATCTGTCTATCGATCGGTAGTCTATCTGTCTGTCTGCCTGCCAGCCTACCTGTCTGTCGGCGGCTGGCTGGCTGCCTGCCTGCCTGTTTGTCCGTCCGTCCGTCCGTCTGTCTGTCTCTCTATCTATCTCTCTATCTACCTACCTATCTATCTATATCGATTCCTTTTCTGCTCCTGAACCTTATGATGATAAGCATGAGCAAGGTCGTTCACGGGCCTGCGGGACACATCAGGCCTCAAAGTAAGGCCACGGTATAACCACAAGTCCGAGCCGCAATTCCGAAACTCCACATCCTAAACCCGAAACCCGTTGGCAGCCGTGTTGGCAGACATACAAAGAGACCCTCACCCCACCTTAAGGAAAAAAAAAACGCCAAACCCAATTCTTAAGCGAGAAAGGCCGGCTTTCCCTGAGGCCATGGACTTCCAACAGGAGGCGGCTGCAATGATTCGAGACAGCGAGGCTTCGGGCATGCCGTCCCCCGGCCCTGGCTTAGGGGCTTTGAAGGGGTTCTGAAAGGGATCTATACGGGTACTATAAGAGGTATTGGGTTTAGTGCTTTTGGGTTTAGGGCTTTTGGGTTTAAATTTTGGGCCTTTTGGGATCATGGGGTTTAGGATTTTGGAACCTTAGAGCGGTGGGTTTAAGGTCTTAGGTTTTTGACTGAGGCGTACAGTCCCATGCCCATTTGCGTTAAAATGACGTTCTTGAAAAATCTCGGTGTCCTGAAACCGTTGACATGTAGATCGGTGTAGCTACTCACCTGCTGAGCTTGGACACGCGGTGGCAAGCTGCGAGGATCGAATCAATCGCTTGCACCCGTGCCATCCGATCGTTCTGGAGACAGTCCACCTGGGTGCTTCCTCCCGAAACCATACTGGTATGGAGTTCAAGAAAAGAAGGAAAGGGGATGAAAGGGGGTTTCGGGCTTGAGTTCCGCAGCTCCAGGAACCTTAAACCCTCATTACTCGACCTTGAAAGTGTGGTTGAAGCGTGGGAGCAAGGCGCTTCTATCCTCTGGACCACGGTTGGCACAAGGTGGCGCCTTGGAAGCAGGGACATACCATGAGCCAGCCGGCAGCCCTGTAGTGGAGATATACCTCAGAACAGCAGGCCTCGGACAACAGGCCCCAAGCCCCAAACCACCGGAGGTATGATCTGAAACCTTTATTGGGTATAACGCGTTGTGCTGTGCATCGCAAGCCCCGTCAAGAAAATATGCAATAGATTTGACACGGTTACTGTAAGGGCTTTTTAAACTGGCCAGAAAGCGTAATGTTAAAGATGAAACCCCCCACTTCAGCACAATCCGAAGGCTCGAACCCCTGGCCTCAAGTCAGGGTTCAACACTTCGGCTGCCATGAAGCCTGTAGCTTTGCCTGCTAGTTCCGTGTTTGCCACGAGCGTGCTTTCACAAGTAGTTAGCAACGTTGCAATGAACAGCTAGCAATAACAACAGTCACCACGGCAATCGTAGTCCCAAGCCTTATGTACCATATTATGTTATCTTTTATGTAATATATATATATATATATATATATATATATATATATATATATATATATATATATATATACATATATATATATACATGTATATATTAAATATATATATATATATAATATAGAAAATTTAATACAACGTTATATATTATATTATATTATATTATATTATATTACATTATATTATATTACATTATATTTTATTATATATATATATATATATATAAACCCCGAGCCCTGCAAGAGAAGAGCCGGCTCCTGCGAAACTGAGGCTTCGTCTCCCGGCGCAGCTTGGCTAAGGATGGGATGGGTCTTTCCCGTGGTGACGGCCCGAAACTCTAAGCCACCACTAATGATAGTAACAATCATAGTAGTATGCATAATAAGAATAACAATAGCAATAAGTATAGCAACAATAATAGCAATAGTAACAAGAACGAAACCGCAGCAATGCTTGAGTAGAAGTTGGGGTTGAAGCGACTGCTCTGCTACATGATGGCGGCTACTTCAGAGCGAAGCCCGAGCCTCCGGAACACAAAGAGCTTTCAAAGGCTAATCTGGTTCCGGCTCGATTGTTCAGGGTTTAAAGTTCTCATCAAACCGTTAGCGAATTCCCAGACAGATGTAGACGGCCCCGTTGCAGCAGCTGTAATGGAAAGCTGGCGGTAGAAGGCAGATTTCAAGCCCGCAAACCCAAGAAGATCTGGACAGTTTTTGCCACGGTGCTGTACACCCCAGAGCCCTGGAATCCCTGAGCCTCATCAAGCTTACAGAATCACAGCTGTGGTGGTTTACGACTAGGAGTTCAGGCTTAAGGGTTCAGGGGTTTAGGGTTAAAGGTTCAGGGTCTAGGGGTTTAGGGTTTAGGGAGCTGCAGGAGTGATCGGAACTGGGTGAATTGAAGTGGAAGACATATTGAAGATGAGTGCAGGCGCATGCCGGAAGCTTCTTGACAGGTCGGTGCGAAGCTTGATATGTCCCATAGAACTGAAGCGGATATCCCTACACCCACTCAGATGTATCCTAAAGGCCCTACTTGGAGGATCATGGGTAGTTATAAGTGGGGTTATAAGTCCCCTAACATGAGTTAGAAGTATAGTTACCTTAACTATAACCCCAGTTACTAAGTCCCATGATCCTTCAAGTAGACCCTAACCCGCAAACCTTAAACATGCATCTGAGGATCGTGTTGGCTTCACTCGAGCTTCGCTGCGAAGCTGTGAGTATTTCTGTGCCAACACGGACGGCTGTCACAGTCTCCCGCCTGCAACTACAGGAATGTTCACGGCTTGGCAGGTTGTCACAGCTGTGCAATTTTACGATTTCTGAATTTAGCGTTCGGTGCTACAGGTTTTCAAGCATTCACGGTTTGGGAGGCTTCCGTCTGTCAAAAACCGAGAACGAACACCTGAACCGCTTACAAGCAGTGAGCACGCAAAGCTCCCAATTGCGCAACCGTGAAAGAAAACCTGCGCCAAGAAGCAAACTCCAAAAAGCTGATTAAGTTGAGCCCTAAAGGAAAAGCAAGCCCTGAGCTTTGCAACATTGAACCCTGACACCCAAAACACTAAAATGACGAAAATCTATAGAAAGTGGATGTCAGACTAATTGGGAATGATACCTTTTGTACTATAACTCCCCCGAAACCCTGATCTATTCATTAAAGGTTTGTTTTTAAGACGTGGCTCTTCGATGAGTCCTTCTTGGAGGTTGGGACTATACGTAGGGCAGCCATAATTATACTCCATATCAGGGGGCGCATAACCCCGCTTCTAACTAGCCCTGATCCTCGAAGTAGGCCCTAAACCCTATACCCTTATAGAATCCCTACAGATCCATTTACAGGGACTCAAAACCCTATACCCTTATAGAATCCCTACAGATCCCTTCAAAGGGACCCTTAATGGAACCCCTATAACTACCCATAGGCCCCAAAGTAGTTCCTCTTTGAGATTACCTTAAAGGATTCTAAATATGAGCCCCAAAAAGGAACTACTTTGGGGCCTTAGGGTACCCCTGAACCTCCAAGTAAGTCGAGGCTTCGAGTCCTGTCCGAAAACGCGAGCCTGTGTGCTCAGATCACAGGCATGTCGTGGGGGGTTTAGGGGTTTAGGGATTGAGCGTTTAGGGGTTTAGGGGTTTAGGGTTTAGGGTGTAGGGGTTTAGGGGTTTATGCAAGCAGTCAGCAGACAATCCGAGCGAGAGCGACGCCTGGATCCTTAGCCAGAAGATTTAGATGTACAAATGACGAATTAGCCTGCGTTCGCACGGCGACGGGACCGACCACCTTTACAATAATTGTTCCACACCTCTTGTGGGGGCACGTACGCTATCGGACACTCCATAGGCTCCTTATCTGGGCCAAAAACATTTCTTATGGCACTCGAGTATTTCCAAGCACCTAACAACGGATGGACCGGTGACTGCCCCGCCGGTCTGAGACAGCGTGGCACTAAAGACAGACTAGGAACCATCTCGTGGCAACCGTAAACCGCCAAAGACTTAGACCTGCTCAATTGAAACTCAATGCCGTGGCGTTTCGCCAAGAACTTCATATCATGATAGAAAGTAGTCGCTTGTTTGCCGAGCGGTTGCCTGCAAACACGAAGTGCTGGATAATCCACTTCCGTCAAGAAGAGAGATGCGCACTTGCACTTGGCTAAACTAGGTGGGCGAACTCCAGGCGGGAGAGCCGCCAAATTTTGTGGTGAAACCTGTCCGTTTCACGAAAAGGACGTACACTTCCAACAGGGACATCGCCTCGTCTGACTGGACCCACTCCTGATCCCTTAAGAACGTTTGCAGCACCCACAGAAACCTAGGACCTAGGAGGCCGTCTTGAAATTCGACAGGTGATGGCATGCTTTGCCCCCGCACTGCAACGAGCAATTTCGCCGACGATTGACCGTACGTACGGGCGGGCTCCACCTCAGGCCCTTGTGCGTTCGCAATATTTCCCGAAGACGGCTCAACCCGCGTCTGCGTAGTCTTAACTACATCTTCCTGGAATTTGAAAACAGGGTGAGCTTTCAAAAGTTGTGTATTTGCGGCGGACACAGCGGCACGGAAAATGCTTTCTTGTTCATTTGTCCATTTCTTCTGGGCGCGCTTGGCTGCATGATCTGCTTTATCATTATGAAAGGCACACCATTGCAAGAAAGAAGTAGTCTGCTGCCACGGTTTGGGGGTTTAGGGGTTTAGGGTTTAGGGGTTTAGGGGTTTAGGTTGAGGGGCATTAGAGCAGAGAGTGTTGGGTTTAGGATGCCGGGGGGTTCTTTCAGGGCCCCTGGGGAGGTTTCTAGAGAGTTCTTTTTTAGCTATCATGGGGTACATTGCACATCTAACATTTGGGGGGATTCTCACAGAGCTATTATGAGGTTCTGCTAGTGGCTTTCCAGAGATGTCCTACGGGGCTTCGGGTTCCCCAGAGACTCCGCCAATATCCCTTAATTAAGGAATGTACCCTAAATCATATTAGGGATCCTACTATAATTTAAGGTATATTCCTTAATTAAGGGATGTTGGAGTCTTTGGGTCTGGGGTTTAAGTTTCAACGGATTTCGATGTAGGTCTCGGCTCTAGGGTTTCGGGGCAGGTGCAGAGTGGTGCGATGTGGATCCCCGACCAACCCCCCCCCCCCTCCCCCAAGCGCCTTAAATTAGGATCCCCATTGAAATCCCCCGTTACCCGAACGGCTTTGTGAACCAGGGATCTACATTAGCATCTGGTCAGGGCCTGGCTTGTGGTTTTGCGGTCGTGATGTACGTGGATTTCCGCTCTTGCCAGATTTTTCTTCTCAGCCCTGGTAAGCCCTCTTTTGCATAAAGGCATCCCCAAGCCTAAATCCCAATCCAAATCCCTACGGCCCCCTTTTACCCTGAAGCTCGAAATGCTAAAGTAGGATACCGATTACAATCCGGTTGAGCTTTAGGCATCGGCGATCCTTGCCGTCCTTCACTCGTCTGGGCTCCTTATTATAGTTATAGTATAATGGGCCCCCAAACCCTGTTCAAACTGTTAAGGCCCCTATATTAAGCGTGTTGGGATTTATTGGTTGGTTTTTCGCAGGTCTCGACCCCTTTCCTTCCATTCTCGGAGGAGGGGAGGGGCGCCGGTCTTAATTTTGGTCTCTGTTCGGATCCCCATGACATGAGGAAGCTGAGAGTATAGGAACTACCGAAACCTACATTTCAGGCTTGTCTATTATCGGCAGCCTTCCGGAAGCCTAAGCCTGCCCATGACAGGCTCTGTCGGGTACAGAGCCTTGGGTGCTACCCGGCACCATCGAGCATTGGTGTGTTTTTTCAACTCATGGGGTTCGATCTTTGGGCTTTTAAGATTGCTTTGGAGGTTAGGCTCTCAGGCCCTAAATCCTAGGGCCTTTGGGCTTCTTGAGCTGCACTTATTCCAAGTTCTGGGGCCTCAGGGCGTCGGACTGTCCGCTCCAGCGCCTCTATGTTTATTGCTTTCAAGCAATACTGGCTGCTCCGTGTTTCGATGCGAGGGCTTCAGCACCTCCTCTGTTTTGTCTCACTGCCCAGCTTCTTTGTGCTTCTGTCGCGATACATTCAGTAGCCCGCTGTCTTCTGGCTGGCTAGGCGTGGTTCAGTGATAATGCTAGCAACAGCTGCAGCAGCAAGAAGGGGAGTAGTCAGCGTCTGCAGTAGTACCAGTCGTTGTCGTCGCAGTCTAGGTGGTAGTGGTAGCGACCTTGCTATTGGTAGTCAGTGTCGGTAGTGGCAGCAGCAGTAGTAATTAGTCGAAGTCGTGGTGGTGGTGGTTTTAGCTGTAGCAACCCAGATGGTACGATGGTCACTGGTTCCGAGGGCGACGGAATCACTTAGACGAAAACCTCCCCCCCCCCCCGCAAGCTCAGAGCCCAAGCAAATCCTAAGTATAGTAAACCCTAAACGTGCGTTGATCCCAAAGATTCGCGACCCGAGTGTCCTCAGCTAAGGCGGTCCACATACTGCCAGACGTGGTATCGCAAAGAACCCGGCTTCTCGCCAACGGGCGGCAGCTTGGTGGGAGATGAGCAAGCTACTATGACGACGACTGCTGTTGCTGCTGTTACTATTCTTCGATTCTTCTACTGCTGCTTATAATAATCACAATCATAATGACAATCATAACCAGAACAACGGTAATAATACTAGTAATAATAGCAGCAATATCATCAACAATAACAGAAACAACAACACCACCACCACTCCTGATAGTGAGGGTCGCAGCTTTGGTCTCATTCCTGGACTAGCATCTCCATCACATGTCCTTTTGCTGTCGGCGCAAATTGCATCTGACTTTGCTCCCACCCTCCTCTCCCCGCCACTTCAATCCCTGCTTTCCTCCCACCCTACATGTTCAACACCGATGCTACCGATACTGACACTGGTCCGTTCGGTGCGATGTCGAAACACTGGCCTGCCGATACGTTGCGGTTCGATACCGATATGGATCCGATATCGAGAAGTGCATTGCCGGAACATCCATGATAACTGCCTATTAAGGGATAGTAGCAGCATAGTTTGGGCTGAGAGGATTGAGGTTAAGCACATATAGCTCGGGGTCCCTGTGTTGGGTGCAGGTCAAACGCAGCGCTCGGGTTTGGAATCGAGGCTTTGTAATTAGTAATTACTGCAGTCATACAGGGTTTACTGTGGCAGGTGGTTGCCATCAAGCCCGATCCAAACCCGTTCACGTCATGTGCGTGTAGTTCGCCCGGCTCGTGGACCTGGAACTTGATATTAACTCGAGATTCGTCTCCTTGGCAGAGTTGCACGCCCTCATATACGTGACCTCAGACGTTGATTCTCATAGTTGGGACGTGGATGCTCTGGTCATTTGGTGGCGAAGACTTCGCAGGAAAGCACGGGGTAATCTGTGCGCGCCCACCAACTATTAATGCCCTTACACTAGAAGCATCTTGAGTATGTTGTGTAATCCTGGTTCACACTCGGACTCCGATGCGCGCGGGAAGGCAAGCCGGTGGTCTACAAGCAATGTGAGAAGGGCAGCGTGCCTGAGGCCATGGGCTGGAGAACCCTACGCCAAAAAAACCGTAATGCTGAATTTCTAGGCCGAAACCCTTGATGGGGACAAACCCGCATGGCGAACTCAAAATTCTGGATGCTGTCGGATTGGGCTATGTTGTTGTATGTCCGGCTTTGCTGACGTGGAGCTTGCGTGCCGCTGGGGTTCGGGATTCCGATATTGGGGGTCCTGCTGGGTGTTTTAGCGATTGGAGTTTAGACTCTAAGGTTCAGGGTTTGGGGCGGAATGTTCGACTTGAAGTGATAGCTCGCAGAATGCAGTATCTCGGAAGCAGTGCATAAGAAGCTCCATGTTCATTGTTCTCTCCTCCATGTCCGTCTTGTGGTCTTTGCTTGCACAGTCTGGATCCGACTCAGGTTCGCAGGGTGTTTTTACTGTTCTGCGATCCATCCAGACTGGGCTGCTTTGAGGTTTAGGAATGTTTAGGGTACAGGCGATGCTTCTCGCATGCTGTACCCAAAACCATTGTCTGTATCTCATAACGATCCAGGTGCCATTTACATCTCCCTTCGCTTGCTCTAGTAATTACCTAGCGTGATCAAGAATCAGAAAGGCCGTGAGTTTGGCTGGAGCACTTGTTGCCCTCAAGGTGCCTTTTGAGTGCCAAAAAGTACCGAAAGCACCGAAGCTTCGAAGCACCAGATCCTTCAAAATGTGGAAAGCATCCCCTAAATCCTAAACCCCAAAACCCCTAAACCCGAAACCCTAAATCCCTAAACCCCCAAGCCCCTAAGCCCTACACCCCCACGAAACCCTAAACCCCGTTGCACCGCAGGGTGGGAAGTGCGTGAAAGCCAATGGCCCGGCCTCCATGACTTTCTACCAGTACAGCGCTCAGAGCAAGGCCTCGGTCCGTTCTTTGTGGGATTGTGGGTTTAGACTAGGGTTTAGGGTTTAGGGGTTTAGGGCTTTAGGGGTTGAGGGGTTGAGGGTTTAGGGTACTAGCTAGTCGCCAGTTGGTAGCACTAGCGGCAGAAGCAGCAGGGCTTCGAAAACCCTTGAAGATAGCCCCCCAAACACCAGACCCACACAAAACTCTACAAACCCTCAACCCTAACCGGAAACCCTGATACCCCAAGCCCTAAAGCCCAAAGCCCTAAATCGTACAGCCTCAACCCCGTCCTCTCCCGCACACATTACTTTCCGAACAACCTTCTCAGAGCACTTCTGAAACCAGAAAGCCCTGCCGCCATGCGAGAACCCCCCCCCCCCCGAGAACTTCCCCCTGAACCCTAAACATGGTGTCCCTGAGTACGATCCCGACCGGAAGTGGGAGAACATGGACATGGCAAGCCTTGGAGGGGTCCTGCGCCTTTGGCCGAAGTGGAGTGTAGGGGTTTCGGGTTTGGGTCTGGGGTTGTAAGCTTTGAAGGGTTAGAGATGACAGTTTGAGGTTTGGTGATTTAGAGTTTACTGGTTTCGGGCCTTGAGTCAGGTCTTCAGGGCTTTAAGTTTCTAGGTTAGGGCCTAAGGAAGTTTATGCGAGTTCTCATGGTACCAACCATAGTACTAGCAGTAAGAAGGGGAAGATATAAGACGAGTCTTGTGAGGTTCAGGTTACAAGATTGTCCCTTCAACCCTGGACTAATATCTGGGCGAATAGGAGTCGAGTTGTGTGATCATCGTGGCGACGCCACCTTGAACCATTCGGCTTTTCTTGCAAGGTCGGTGTGCTGTGCGTGTTATGAGGTTTTGCTTTAAGGTATTATGTCAGTTTATTGTTCCCATGCCCAGATCGTTTTGGGAGGCCGCAAGAAGTGATGAAACTCCCAGGTTCTATCTGCACAACGAGGTGGTGGGCAACGACGGTGAGCAGCTGGTGGACGGAAAGAACCTCTGAGCAAGATGGCTTTCGGCTTGTGGGCTCTCCCGATATTGACTGGCTAGATGGTCTTGTAAGGCATGTTTTTTGGCTTATGGCTTCGTGTCTGGTATGGGGGATCTCCAAATTTACGTCGTCTCCAACCCTCTAGTGTAACGGCAATGCAGTTGACACGAACTCTGGACACCGTGGATACCGGCAGCAGCGTGGGGCAAGAACATACCGAGAATGGCAGGATATGGGAGTTTCCGAAAATAGGGGACCCTAATACAAAACCCTAAATAGTAGGATCCTTATTTTAAGGACCCCAAAATAAGGTACCCCTAATTTTCGGAAACTCCCATATGGCAGGCACAAGCCCAGGTAAAGGCGGTGCCACTACGCAACATTACCAGTATCAGTAGCTGCGGCAGCTGTCACCCGCATCCTACCCTGAATCTCAAAGCACTATAGCGTTTTGCAAATGAACGAGCCATCAACTACTCAAACAAGACTGAGGAAGCAACTCTTGACAGTCCGGAGCACACCATAGTCCGACATTCAGAAGTCGAACCGCTAAATTCGTCTAAACCGCAAGCCCTATAGTTCTGATGCGAACAATTGAGACCCATACTAGTACACTATAAGTACACTATGGTATACTGTCAAACCCTAGCCTCAGTCTATGCCTGAAGCTCAATGTCGAGGAGAACGACGAAGTTCGCGATCGACCGCATTGTGCGCTTCAAAGTCACTGTGCAACCTGACCCAAAGCCTTGTGCTGGTGATGCGTGCTTGTTGGTTCCGCTTGCTTCAGAAAGCATTGGCATACTTCTCCTACAGCAGGCCCCGAAGGAGGCAGGGTTGTAACCCTTGCATGACTTTTACTCCCAAGAATGTGTTTGCAGCAGATGGCGCCATGTGTTACCGGCCCAGAAACCCTGCACCCCAATCTTTGCGTCTAGAGTGGGGTCCATGCTGGTCAGAATTGACTTGGACCTGTCTTGTTGGCCGCAGAAGCCCATCTATTGCCGGACTTCCGAAGCCAGGGCAGCTCCTAGCAAGCTACCCTAAGCCTTGAACCCTAAGCCTTACATGGGAATCCGAGATCAAGTCTTGACCCAAAGCTCGAACCTGGTAAACCAGGGTGGCCCCTGAACTCCCCAAATCCTTCAAAACCCACTCCGTCCCTCTTTAGGTGTACATGTATGTGTATGTATGTATATATATATATATACCACACACAAACACATACATGCACAAGGTTCTGGCAAAAGACCTGATCGTCGCAAACCAGCCGAAATCCTAATACCCTTCGTAAACCCTTTCCCCCCGAGCCAGCATCTTAGACTCTGCGCGCCGAATTCCAAGACCTGAAACCCCCAAGCCAAAGTCCTGAATCCGCCTTCCCGACTTGTGAATCCGAAACCCCCAACTTCAATCCCCACAAAATCCCTGAAGCCATACGAGACTCTGGTTAAGGCCCGACTGGAAACCCTCAATGAGTCCCCCGGCCCAGGCACAACACAGATGCACTTTGGAAGCAGTTCCGCTCCCAGTTCGGACCTCAGCTCAGCAGCAGTAGTGTATATGTTCATACAAGAAGTAGCAGTAGCAGTAGCAGTAGCAGTAGGAGTAGGAGTAGGAGTAGGAGTAGTAGTAGTAGTAGTAGTAGTAGTAGTAGTAGTAGTAGTAGTAGTAGTAGTAGTAGTAGTAGTAGTAGTAGTAGTAGTAGTAGGCTATCAGCGGTGTAGATGGACAAGATAGCGGCAACAGCACGCTGCAATCGTTGTAAGTATCGCTCCTGTCGTCATCACCGTGATTACGATGTGTGGTGCTTCGTAAACTCACAACATTAATGTTAAGCCGCCTCCTGCGCGGCCACTTCAGGTTCGGACAGTTCATCCAGTTCGACTACGGCCAGGCCACTTTCGGCATGCCCAACCACGTTAAGACGCTAGTGCCGAAATTTATGCCTGGCAGACTTATCTGTTGTGGTTTCGGGGTTGAGCCCTGGGGTGTCGGGTTTACCGTTTAGGACGTCGTGAAGACATGTGGTCCGTACTGCGGATGCATGGGAAGTCTGGGCTGTGTTCCACAAAGAAGGACTTTTGTGAAACTCTGATTTTGAGGAAGTTTCGTTTGCCGCAGTAGTTGTAACCTGCACTGACCCAACACCCGAAACCTTACACCCATCATCTGATTGAACCTGGACCATGTCAAGCGTAAAGTTAAGACGGGAGTTCCATCGGAACCCAGCACCCGGAAAACCGTTGTCTAGTTCCCGGACGCTGAACCCCAAAGCCTAAACTGTGGAGAAACGCGAGGGCTCCGTCAACCTAAGGAAATGCAATGACATTTGGACGAAGTTTGGCACCGTGGCGTTAATGTGAAGGTTCCCGGATGTTCGGTTCTCCCGGTCAGGAGTTTCGGGAGTTGGTGAGGTACAAGGATTCAGGTTTTCGGGTTGTCTGGGTTTCGCAGGACCTAAACCTTGGAGGGCCTTTCTCCGAGAGGGGTCGTTTGGGGAGCTCGGGTGTGAACGGCTTCAAGTCTGCACGCTCCCGGGAGCTCGAAACCTGTCATAGACCAGGTTGGGATTCGGAAGTGCAGGCAGTCCTGTAGTTACAAGTAGAAGTGGATTTGTTGCTAGCTCATCTTGGCAGAATGCATGATGACGCGGGACTAGCTAGTATCACCCCAGCTTGGCTCGTCAAGATCTGCCATACCTGGCCCTCTTTAGTCCAGCCATGATGCTTCAGACCTTGCGCGCTTTGTCTAGCGCTGGGATCACGTACGTCCTGCGATGTCCTGCGAATGCTGTTTCGACATTGAAACTAGGTGCCAAGATTGCCGACGTTGTTCCGAATGCTGTTGCGACAGGGAATCAGGTCGCCAAAATTGCCAGGACATTGAAACTGGGCTTCAAGATTGCTGGCGGTGTTTGTATCTTGTCCTGGGCGCAACAAGCTTGCTCACACTTGCAGAAATGCTGGGACATGGCGGGTTCTATGGCTGAGAGTGCACCTGCATTTCTGCAGCGCACCCAATGTCTCGTAAGCTCTTGGGCTCAGAGTGCATGGTCGTTGCTGGAAAAGAACTGGATGCAAAATGCCGGAGCACAAGCTGTCCAAGCTCAGATGGAAACGGCAAAGGAGAGTATTGTCAGCACCTTTTCTGGCAACCGCGGAACGAAGCTTTCGCTCCGCCCCGAGCTCGTTGGGATATCGCTGCTGTTGACATTAGGCTTTGCAGCTGCCTGGCGACACAGGCACAGCCAGCAGCGAAAAGCAAGCTGGAAGCTTGTGATGTTGAGGTGGCTCCGGAAGTAGCAGAGTCGGCTTGCCACGATCAGCACATCACCCGCCTCATGCGGGGGAACCTGATCTTGACCTTCGGCTCGTTTTGAAGCAATCGTTGTCAGAGCCTCGTCACCAAAAGTTTTGTCTTGTTAGACTTCCTTTGAACAATGGATGGCAGATGCCCACCCATTTCGGCACAACCGGCGCAATCACAAGCCCGGCAAGCTGCAGGGTCCTTCTGAGGAAGACGCGCGATGCAGCGGCGCGGAGGCAAAATGTAGAAGCGGCCATCTTCCCCGGGGTTCTGATTCTGTGACCGAGAGGCTAGGGCTCCCCCGTCAGGAGTTGCAAGAAAGGGATCTGTAAGTTCTTGCTAACGGGTTTCTCGGATTAAGTGCAAAAAGTGCTAAGTTTGTTTTATGGCTGTGCCGAGGAAGGAAGCCCTACATAATGCTCTTTTAAAGTCGGCCCTTGAGCCCCAAGCAAGTAAACCCCAGTTTCTGCACCCGAAATGCCGCAACGTCTCAGGCTTCGAAGTTGGCTGCCAGCCTGTGCCGGAGGGCACTTCAGGCTACGAAGGCTTTCAAAGACAATTAGAAGGGCTTCACTCACAGGCGGGTTTTGCAAGATTCTGTTGGGCTTCATGTTACTGGTATGGTTCTATACTATGGTCCTATAAAGTTTTAAGTTACTGGTATGGTTCTATACTATGGCCCTATAAAGTTTTAAGATTTTGTGGGAGCTAGGGATCCCCCAGAGCTTTACGGGAGGTCACTTTGCTGAGTCGTATGCTGCAGATGGTTCCAGGGCGGGGCTTCGAGTAGAGCTGAAGGAACTCTTTCCCTTAACCCAGCCTGAGCCTCAACCCCTGCACCCTAAACCCTAAACCCCTGCACCCTAAACCCTAAACCCTAAACCCCTGAACCCCTAAAACCCGAAGCCTTCAGGCCGAACGCCTGAATCCCAAGCCCTAGCCCGAAACTATTTCTTAGGCCCGACATAGGCCTAGAGGAGAGTTCAATTATTTCGGTTACATGTGAATGCACTTACTTGGGTAGGTCTCGAAATTCGGAGGTTTAATCCAAATGCGGCGGGGGTGAAGGGCCCGATTGAGGCTTTAGAGATCTTGGGTGTTTGGTGTTTAGTCCTTTAATGCCCCAAAAGGGACCATAATTTTGACAACCACCCATATACATCCCCATAATTACGGCTCCATAAAAGCCCATAACTCTGATATACAACCAAGCTATCTCTCTGAAAGTAGCCCTTAGATTAAACCTGCCCAGCCCAAAGTAGCCCTTAAGGGAACCCTATCCTTTAACCCTAAATCCCTTTGTCTACCCCTACATAAGGCCCTGAAAGGAACCACAGAACCCCTAAACTAGTCCTTCAAGGAGAACCCTTGCATCAGGTGGCTACTGGACCTCCTACCCAGGCACATGCCCCTCCATGCCTTTCACCGAGACTTTGCGAGGGCTTAGGTTTTAAGTTATGTTTTTTTTCTTGTTTAGGGTTTCAGGGCGTTGGGATTCATGGTTTTACTGAATGGGGTTTCAGGTACAAGGTTTCGGGTTTAGGGCTTCGATGGTCGGTAACACGACTCCGGTCGATTTGGGACGGTTTGTATTCGTGTTCTTAGTTGGGTCGTGCCGTTTATGTTAGCAGCAGCTGGGGTTGAGGGTTGAGAACGGTTTAGGGTTTTGGCTTCCGATCTCAAACCTTCGTCTTTGTTGTTACTTGCAGGGCCCAGGCTTCCATTCAGGCGAGGCGCCTTGGAGTTGAGAGCTCCGGCATAGACCCAAAAGAGGTCTTATGTTAAGGTGAGGGAGCAGAGTCCCGGCTTGACGGTGGAGCACTGCCGAGGCAATCAATATCATTTAGCTTCGGCTTCTTCCTGTCCTGGGCCTGGGGCAGATCTTTATGAGGGCCGAAGGGAGAGACTATTGACACCTACCCTGTATGGATACTACGTGTGACAGGTGACGTTTAAGTCTTTCAGCCCGCTCCTAGTCTAACCCGGATAAAGGTCCGAGACTTGTCGCGAAAGCCCTCACCGTTCGTCCACAATCCTTTTTGTACATGCCATCAGATAAGAGCTTTTCCTTAGTTCGTCGCCTCCCTTCTGACATGATGTGCTGCAGCCTTGTTGGTGGTGAACATCGCCTTCAAAACCATGGCAGCCAAGGACGATTCCCCACAGGGCGGTGCAAAGAAGACTGCAGCATGCATCTCGGTCTGGGGACTCAAGGTATGCTGGCGCAGGGTTCGGGCTTGAAGAGTTCATGGGTTCGAGCTGTTTTACGTGCAGGATTTGTATTTTAGGGTGCTTGCGTGCCTGAGCTTTGCAGAATTTAGCATTCTTGGGCTTAGGCTTGATCAAGTTGTTCTTCGTCCCTCCAACGCGTAGGAAGAACATCGAGATATGGACTTTGCCAGCATTTCAATCTATGCTCCGTGCCCAGAACCCCGTGCCCCCAACGACGGCGTGAACGTCGAAACTGAAGAAGAGTCGAACAGGACATGAGGTTAATGGGTTCGGCCGGGTTGGGGCGTAGGGTTTAGCGGTAGGGAAGTGGCTTTTCACCGCGAGCTCTACGGCACACAATAAAACAAAGCCCCAAGCCCTACATTCAATTCCCCAGCCCTCGACCTGCTGATCCTCAGCCTGGACCAACCACACGGACCGAAACACAGCCATACCAAACAACAAGTTAAAGCCTCGTGGTCTCGAACTCGGAGACCTCGATCGAACCTGAAGCCTGTCTCGAAGGCCTAAACCCCTCGAACCGTAGCATCATATGCATATGTATACATACATACATACATACGCCCCTAGAGTATCCCGTCCAATACCCATGTTGTATGAGCCACAGAGCCCGTCAGGCAAAGCGCAGTGGCAGGGAGGCCCCAATTTCTCACATCTGGGGGGAGGGCGGTGGAGGGGGTGAGCACAAAATTCTGGACTTCTTTGTTAGACTACGCAACCAGGATGCCTTTAAGGGATTTGGGACCACCGACACAAAGCAGGATTTCAAAGAGACCTTTAGGTTTAGGGTCTAGTGTATGTGGAGTTGAGATATGAACTCGTGGCTTGTGTTTTAAACTTGATAGCTGATAGCTTCAGATTCAGTCAGGGTTTTATGCACATGCCCTTTTCCAAAGTGGAGAAAGCTTGGTTCTAGGCATCTCTGTGGGAAGTGTGTGGATCTAGACCTGGCGCAAGAAATGTGCAGCATGCACGCATGTATTGCACAAGGCAACCAACCACCAACCCATTATGTGAAATGATTTTACTACAAGGCGGCCCCCATACTCTTTAGACCAAGATGCAAGCCCTGTGAGGAAACTGCCCTGAGCCTGATGGCACGCCAGACTGCACCTGGCACGTGGAGCCTGCTGGCTACGCTCCTCGGCCAGTTCAAACATCTGCTCGAAGCGTGTCAAACCTCAGACATGGAATCCCAGCCAACTTACCTTTGTTTAGTAGGATATGGAAGAATGGTAGTAATAGTAGTTATAAGTGTACCCCATTCCTCCATTCCCTACTAACCAAAGGTAAGCAAACCTTCCGCATGAGTGAACTTGATTGTAGAGCAGCATCTCATACCAAACAAGCCGGGTTTGGAGTAAGTTCCTCCACCACAACTTTCCAGGGTCGGTGAAGCCTTCCCTGGCTGCAGAGATTTTTCAATATATGGTGAGCCTGAGAAAAGGCTTTAGAGTTTACGGTTTGGTTTCGGGCATTAAGTACCGGGCTCAAGATCAACACTATGACGCCCTAAACCCGGGAAGCCGCGACCACTTCCGGGTAAGGCACGAGTTAAACAAGCGGCCTAGCAGGACAAGCTATGATTGGCAGCATCAGCAACCCTAATCCTAAGCCCTGAATTCCGTTTTTCTTCTGTGTCTTTTTGTCATGGTCCAAGGGCTCATGTAGCTGAGGATTATATACCCAGCTTCGAGGGCCGTCACAGGAGGATTTGTATTCTATTCCCTGTGAACCTGGGCACCCGGGATGTACCTTGAATGTAGTTGTCGCTGTCGCATCAGTTTGTGCTCAGTTGAATCTCTACACTGGGAAACGCGCTGCTTTGAGGTAATGTTGGACGAGCTGACCGGCGTCAATGCCGAGCAGGTGTTGAACGCCGGAGGCTGGCAGCTAGAAGTGCTTACTGTTTGATTTGGGGTCTCTTCTTCTCCGAATCTCTGAAACATGCCTGCACCGACAAACCGGTGCACCCTGTAGCCTGAGCGGTTACTACTGTGACAGCTTTTGTCTCCAGGCTTCTTTGTCCTTGCCTGTTACATGCAACATGTTCTCATCATACGGTTTCAGTGTACGGCCCGACGGCTTCCGGAATTATTAGTAATAGTATTAATATTAATATTAGTAATCGTATTAATATTAATATTAGTAATCGTATTAATATTAATATTAGTAATCGTATTAATGCTAATATTAGTAATAGTATTAATATTAATATTAGTAATATAAGTCATAGTATTAATATTAATGTTAGTATTAGTAATAGCATTAATATTAATATTAGTATGAGTAATAATATAAGTATTAGTATTCTTCTTGAATCTTGCTGGAATGCCGGTTGTTGTACAGCTTGTGCTCCTCTTCCACGAGACACGGCAGGGCACATACTGCATACTGTACGCGATGTGACCATAGCATGTTCATATTGCCAGGCCATCTTTACGATGAGATTCTGGATGCGGGCACCGGCGGAGCGAACAATTTCTGGGCGAGAAAGACGCTTGAATTGAATGGTTGTGGGCAACGGGTCTTCGGTTTGGAGCATTGAGGCTGAAGTATATATGACGGCCTCCATGGGAAACATGAGGAACCTTAATTTAGTGTAGACCCCGAATCACACGGATCCTTCTTATCCGGAATGGGTACACCTAATTTCAAGAAACCCCAGAGGGTTTTTTTACTTACGATGCTCGGCCTACTTAGCCTTTGGATCCAAGTTTCTTGCTGTTTAGCTTGTCAGTTGTGATTTTTGGAAATTGGTGCGGCGCAGGATCAAGAAAGGCAGAACCCCTGCTCTCAAGCCCAGTAGAACTTTGCAGAAGCAAAATCGGTCTCCGAAAGGCCAAGGAATGTGAACATCCGAATCGAACCCCTGCGCCAAAAAAACAGCCTAGCCTCGACGAGCCAAGGAAGGACAAGCAGGCCGGGAACTCGCACTCACGTCCTGCATTGTCATTTTCGGAAAAATCTTCAGTTGCCCCATCATACTATCCAGCACCGATCTTCAAGAGTGTTATTAGTACTATCAGTACTACTATCATCCACACTCTTTTCTTCGTTATGTTGGCCTTTTTCTTCATGGCAAGTCGGCTGTTCAGTCGTGTCCTGATGCATACTTCACTCCAGAATTTCCCGGAAGCACACGGTACTTTACCGTACTTGAGGTTTGTGAGTGTGAAGTTCGAAAATCTTCAGCAGTACTACTCGACTATCCAGGCCTGCCATCATAAACACCACCGTTGGCATAGACTCGTCGTTTTGCATGAGCCTTCTTGCTAATCTTCCCTGTTCTTCTTGCTAATATTCCTGTTCTTCTTCGTGATGATCGACACAGCCATCGGAGTAGGGTTAGGAGTATGATAGTGGGTATTAGGACAACTGCCGATGTGTTCCCGTTTCGGAGGCATGCAAGTCTCGCGAGAACCAGCTCCTGACTCTCTTTGCGCGGAAATTTCCGGGTCTTCTAGCCGGCATTTGGTCATTGAGGGGTTTATGTCCGTGGGCTTAGGGATGCAAGGTTGCAAGGTTCGCCCAATGACAGTTGAAAGAAGTCATGTTGCGGAGGCCGCAGGGCTCTCAAGCCTAGAGTGTGAGGGAAGCAGCCAACTTTCCGAGTGATCTTCGGCTCCTCTCATTGCCGCCGTGGACCTTGAAGCCTTGGTCGCCCCAAGCCCCAATGCTACTGACTCAGATTTCGACGCTGGACTCCCGGACCCGCCCTGCGACTTCTGGCGCTGAGGTCCCAGCAGTGGGTAGATCTACCCTATTCAATTCTGGGGCTTAGAGGTTGAGGGGAATTAAGCGTATAGCCCTTCAAGGGTTTAATGATTTGGTTCGGAGCTTAGGGGTTTAAGGGTGTGGGTCTCCATGCTGTGAGTCGGCAAGGCCCGTCTCCGAGTTGAGCTATGTAGGAAGACTCGCAGCGCGAAAAGCAGTGCATTCAGGATTTGAGACTAATTCCCCGGAAGCTGGCGATAACCGACCATAGAAGCAGCAAGGATAGCAAAATCTAAAGGCCTGTTACAACAGCAACAAATGGCTAAGGCCTGAAGTCCAATCCGACGGCCGCAGATGTTCATGGTGTATTCATTCCACATGACACCACTAAAACCCCCACACTTTATCGGTTCCTGGCTTGCGGGCATGCAGTGCTGTACAGCAGCAAGCGCAGATGGCTCTGACCAAAATCAGTAGTCGACGTAACGACGTACGAGATCAGATCAACTTCAGCCTCAGGCTGTGTCGGATGGGTTCGCAATCAGGGGCTGGCATGCGGGACAGAAACGAGCCGAAAGAAGGGCGTACAAGTTTACCAAGAGAGCCCAGATGTCACAGTCGTTATGTAAAGCCACCCTGTGATGCTCAACTCGACAGCCTGGAGCCCGGCTCTGGGGCATGTCGAGACAACATGAAGGTGAGTTGGATTTGTCACGCTCTACGGTGTTTCTGCATAGCTTCACAGTCCCTCAACAATTGCAGCGTCGGTTTGCAGGCATCGTGCTGCCGCAGCATTTGCTGTCCATAGCTGTGCTTCTGCGTGCAACCTCCCCGAAGAGCAAGCAGGTGCGAAAAAGCATGTTGGTGTAACAGTGTTTTTGTTGTACGTGTGTAGTGTAGTGTTTGTACAACACCTGACAGTTGTAATGGCTTGCGAAGCCATGGAGCTCAGCGCAGAGCAGGTGCGGTTTGCAGGGATTCAGTATGTCTCCTGAGCTTGAGTTCCGTTTGTACCAAGCAGCACGAAGCAATTCGTGGATGCAATTTTCTCTGACGGTACTGGCGGCAGGCAGCAAGCAGAGCAGTAACAGTTGGGCTGTTGCTGCCTGTTCTTGCCACAGAGCAACGGTCGGCGACAGTTGCAAGTCCACGTGCGTCTACAGTCCGGCCTGCAGTCTGTTCTGTGTACCAGGTGCAGGTCCTGGCCCAGAGCCCTGCGTACATAAGCCCGGCATCTAGCAATCGTCCAGGTCCTCCTTGCTGCTGGCCGGAAGCTCAACCGTCCCGATGCAGCAATGCAGGACATTATCCACAAGGTGGTCAAGGCCGGCACTTCAAGAGTAGGCCAGGTTAGCATCACAACGGCAGGAGACGCGGAGGTAGTCGTCTTAAAGTGGGCAATGGTAGTAGTGGTGGTAATAGCGCCATTCGTGGTAGTGACGCTTGTGGTAGTCATAGTCTTCGAGGTATCAGCAGTAAGAGAAGCTGTGCAACACTAAGCTCTGCAAGGCTTCGGACGTGGCTTTACTAGAACATACTAGGTACAACTATGTTCTTTCTCCCGTTCCATGTGGCAGCTGGGGGTAGCGGCGGACCTCAAGTTTTGCCTTTTAAACGTCGTCGCTTCTCTCACACAGATGGTCTCCTCCGCTTCGCCGTCATGAAGGTTCTGGGCTGTGTTGAAATCTATGGGGTTTAGGGTCGTTGCTCTGCCTGCGAGGACAACTGGCTCACTACCGCGGCCGACTTGGCAGGCCTCAGCATCTCGGAGATGCAGCAAATGGGAGTGCCAGGAGTTGGGGTGGGAGTCCTTCCACACTCTGTCCATGCTGTTTTTTTTTTTTGTGTGTGTGTGTGTGTGTCTGTTCAAACGGAGAAGACCAGGACTGCATTGATACTTTTTTCCGACGTCCAGCCTCAAAAAAATCAAGACTACGGCAAGATCAGCCCAGTCCATCCCGCCTCCCACCTACATCCGGGAAGTTGAGCGCAAAGTCGTTTGATTATGTTGATGAGACAGTATGCAACCTTTTGGAAATCCTTTGAGCCCTTGGGAACTCCAAAAGACCTTGCCACCTACTTAAAGGATGATGGGACTTAGTAACTAGGGTTATAATTAAGGTAACTACTATACTTATAACCCCAATTAAGGCACGTATAACCTTACCTTCTAAGTCCCGTGATCCTCCAAGTAGCTGACGCTTTGCTGAACCCTCAAACCAGTTCTTCAGCCTGCCAGGAGCTTTGGGGAAAGCAGTTCTTGGCGTTCTTTCTGGCAGCTCTGGCGTGCTCGGTCAATCCCAGGCAGGAGCCTTTTTGGAGAAGTGCTGCCGGAGTAGACTGCCGGGAAGAGTCGAACACTGGCGTCAAGCAGAGTGCAGTCGTGGAGCATACTGAACTGTAGAACGTTCCGTCGTGGTTCGTTGTCCACACTGTGACGATGTGAGTCTGTGTGCTAGCTGTCACTTTGTCCTATAACTATAGCAGTAAGTTCGCGTTGGAGCTACCGCATGGTGCCAGGCACCAGCGAGAGCCATCACATGGCTAGTCAAGACAGGGCACCTCTTCCAGGGCAAGCTCTACGCCGCGGGGCAGCGGGGTAAGGAGGTGGCCGTCTTCGTCAACAGTGTTTGTGAGGATGCTGAGCTGCAAGCCTCGTGCAATCTTCGGGCGAAGGCCGGCCAGTTGGACTCCGTGTAGGAACGGTAGCTAGGCTCGGGCAAGCTGAGCCCCATTCAGCCGCCTGGAGACGTCAGGTGTGCGTCGCCGGCAAGGAGATGACAGTATGGGATGCCACGGGGAGGTGCTTTTTGGATGCTGAGAATCGGCAGGCTTTGGAGCTGCAACCGGTGGAGCGCCTTGCACGCAAGCAAGACTTCACGGACAGTTGCGAACCAACCCCAATCCGCAAACTCGAACCGAAGCCCCAGATCATTGCCTAAGTTGAGTCAGGATGGTGCAGGGAACGACAGAGCCCCCGTTGCGCATGGTCGGCAAATTCGACTTGCGCTACCAGAAGAAGCCCAGACTCGGCGGGAAGTTGTCCACTGCTGAGCTTGGCAAACCAGGACAGTCGCCGACACAACCTTTACAGCTCAATGGCTGCTAGCTTCCCAGGATGCCCTGGAAAGGGAGCAGCGGGTTGAGGCGAGGAATACAGGCGGTAGTAGTCGCCAGCACGTTTGCAACAGCAACAGCAGCAGCAACGGGGACAACAACAACAACAGCACCACCACCGCCAACCACAACTGTAACTACAACTAACAACTATCAAGCAACGAGCAGCAAGTAGCAATCATCGAGCAGCAACTGCAACAGCAGCTACAACAGCAACAGCGGCCGCAGCCGCAGCATCAGCAGCAGCAACAGAAACAGCAACAGGGCAACAGCAACAGCAGCACCACCACAACCACCACCACCGCCGTCACCACCACCCAGACTTGCTGTTGCTACTGTTACTGCTATTCTACTTTGCTACTACTGCTACCTGCTGCCTGCTACCTCCTGCTTCTGCTGCTATCACGACGACTACTACTGTCACTACTGCTACTACTACTACTGCTGCTACTACTACTACTACTACTACTACTGCTACCACCACCACCACCACCAGTACCACTGCCACTACCATCCCTTTTCTGCGACTGCGGCTATGGCTACGATTATAGTTACGGCTATGCCGGCGACCCAAATAGTACTGGCATTGCTATTGGTACTGCTGCATTCAAGAGTAGTCTTTTTGACACCGGTGTCATGTCTGCAGAAACTTGTCACGGCGATATCTATGGCGTTTATGGTTTCTGTGTTTTGCCATGTTCACGACTCTATATGGATATGAATATCCAGTATCCCTGAGCCCAGCATGATCCTGCTGGGAAGAAGAGCACCAGGAAGCTGGCTTTGCAAGACATCGACCTTTACCTCTTTTGAGCTTGAGCTCAGATCCACGGCGGCCGAGAGGGGCATCGCCTCGCCATCAGAGGCAGAAGCAGCGGTGATCGACAAGCTCCAAGACGTGCAGAAAGACACCAGCGTGGTGACGGCGCTGGTCCGCGAGCTCGAGGTTGCGCTTCAGCCCTATGCTGAGTCTTCGGTACCAGTCGTTCCGTGGAGGCATTCATGCTGCTCTTTGGCTTACTGCAGCTTCAATCTTTGCCGTTAGCTCTTGTAGCACAGGTTGGCAAGTGGCTTCAGCGCCTGAAGAACCTCTCTGATGACAAGGAGGTCAGTCTTCCAAAGGCCGCCTGCGCTCGACATTACATCGGCTGTTTGGGAACCATTGCAGTGAGAGTCCAATAGCATGTTGTTGGGCTGTGGCATTCCACGTCTGTGGAACGTGCGAGGCGATGTTAACTGGTGCGACTGGAAGTGGAAAGAGCTATCTAAACAATGCGACTTGCTTCTTCAGCCAGGTTGTTGGATTGCAGTGGTTTCACCGCTTACTTCTCTTTGCCATATTTGTGCATGACTTGTTCGATCGCCTCGTCTTCTGCTTGCCATTTCTCTGATCGCGCTGATGTTATTGTGGTACATTGTGATGTTGTTTGCATACACCCAAAGCTAGCTTCTGTCCAAAATTGTATCCATTGGTCAATTGACGACCTGAGGATTCAAAAGGATGCTTTGTCACCAGTTGGAGGGGAGCACTCGGGGTCAGGGGGATGTTTTCGATTGAATGAATCAATGGCAGATCCACAACACCCCCTGCCTTCCAGATGATTCATTAACAGGTTGCATGGGGCTCTTGCCCCCGTGTTCTGCTGGGGATACAATTCCGTCGCAAGTTAGTCGCTCGTTGCGACGAGGAATGCAGAAACAAGTATAATTCCCAGTTCTCTTGTGGTTGGTGGTGTGCTATTGCCATTGCTTTTGCTGTCGCTGCTCTTGTTGTTCTTGTTGGTGTTGATGCCCGTGCCGGTGCCGGTGCCGGTGCCGGTGCCGGTGGTGGTGGTGGTGGTGGTGGTGGTGGTGGTGGTGGTGGTGGAGTTAGGTTAGGCCACGCCCCAACTTATATATCCCTCCCGCTGATACCTCATGCGTTTTTTCCCTAGGGGGTACCCTAGGATTTCAGAAATTTATGATAAAAAATCCATCAAATTTTATCATAAATTTTTGTAAATTTTTACAATAATTTTATCATAAATTTTATTACAAAAATTCAGAAATTTTGTAATATTTTTTGTGATATTTTTTGTGATATTTTTTGTGATAAATTATTTTTATAGCATGTTTTTTGCTCTTAAATATGGTTCTAGTTCATCTAGTGAGTCTCGTATAGTTTTAATATAATCATCATCCCATGATGATGTGTTAAGTTTCTCTTTCATTTTGTTCATTATCGTTTCTTGTTTTTGCAATAACAAGTATTTTTTCATTCCATATTCAACGCATAAGTTATCTAGGTCTTTTTCAAAAGGTTCCATTATCTCTTTGTATTTGCTTTTACCAGCGTCTTTGTCTGTTATAATTTCCTTTATTACTTTCATCATATATATATATTACTATATATTTTTCTTTTTAAAACTTTTAAAACTTTTAAAACTTTTATATATTTTTATCTTCATTTCTTTAGATATGTATTTATAACATTTCATGAATTATTATTTTCATACAATTCTATTAGTTCTTTTTGTAGTTCAATTTGTTTTTCTAAATACGTCATTTCCTTATCTAAATGTTCTTGTTCTTCTTTTTCTATAACACATTTTTGTTTTATTTCTATAATTTTGCTTTCCCTACTTTCTTTGATAATTTCTAGTTTTTCTAATTCATGTTTTGCTTGTTTGTATAATATTTCAAACAATTCATCTTGAACTGATTTCTTCATATATATAATACTATATATTTTAGTTTTTAAAACTTTTAAAACTTTTTGAATAATATAATAAAAATATTTCAATAAAAGATTAGTTATTTATTGAAATATTTTTAATCTTGTTTATTTAGTGAAAATATGTTGCCTATACATATTTTGTAATTCTTTTAGATATTGTTTTTTCATGTCTTTATCACCTGCAGACTTTATCCAACTATTATATACACTTTTGTATTTTTTATACGTGGTGTTTGATATTGTTTTTCTATTGTTTGCTTCTTCAAATATTTCCCGTATTTTTTGTATTCCTATTCTACTTGGCTTGATTAAAGTTGTTCCTGTTGTTTCTTCATCTTGACTTTCTTTTAAGATATTACCATCTTTTTTAGTTTTTCTTGATCCCTTCCTCACTGGTTCTTCTGTCTGTGGTGTCCTTTCTTTAAAAATTTCAGTAAATAATCTTTTGGTATCGCTTCTATTAACTGTAGTAATATTTCTTTCTCTATTAATTTCATTAAAGATTTCCATTATTTTAGATTCGTCAGTTTGAGACAAATTATTTCGTAGTTTTGCTATTCTAAATAATTCTACTACTGTATCAAAACTAATATTTTGAGGATCAATAGTTGAAAAGTCATTCAAATTTAATTTTGCTAATGTTCTGGTTATATTTTTAATGTTTAATGGGTTCTGTCCTGATCCATGAACTGGGAAAATATTTTGTTCTTCTACTTGTCTCAATAAATTTCTAATTTCTTGGTTTTCTTCTTGTGGTGGTGGTGCATTTTCTCCTGACCCTGACGCCCCGCCCTCTTGAAAATTAGTTTGTGGTGGCGTTGGTGATGTTTTAGGAGTTGGTCGGGGTCTTGATTTCCCTCTCGGTTCTGTTGGTCGTTGTGGTCTTGGTAATTCTGATATCGCAGGTTGGCTTGATGATGCTATCGGTAATGGTTGTTGTGTCGCTCCTACATTGGGTTGATGTGGTTGTAATATTGTTGTTGGTTGTAAATATTGCATATTTGGTATTGGTGTTGGGTCATATGTCGTAAATTGCCCGTTTCTCGCCGTACCTGTGAAATCTAATAATGGCCTAGGAGGTGGTGCTATTCTTCTCATCAACGTATCTCTTAATGCTTGCATGGCTTCTTGTGAAAAACCGGCAAACGCGGCAGATCTAAAATCCATTCCTGATGCAATATTACCCGCGATATTGCCCCCTACACTTAATGCTCTGTTTCCTAGACTTCTTAAAACTCCTGATCCTCCTTCTTCTTCTCGTTCTAACTGTTGTTGATGTGCTTGTGTTATTGTTTGTTGGTTGCCTTGTTGTGCCATTGCTATATTTTGCAATGTTTCATTTACTTGCGCTAACTGTTGTTCTTGTGGTGTGCCGAATTCTTCAATAGTAGATGCATCAGGGTCAGTTGCTATATTATACATTTCTGGCGATCTCGGTTGCTCTGGTTCTGGTCTGTCGTGTTGTGTAAATAATGATCTATGTGTCATATCATTATCTTCCGCGTATTGTCGTTGCATGAGATCCCTAGCTATTCTTTCGGCAATTTGTTTTTCTTGAATTTTTAATTTATCTAAATGATCTTTTCCATCAAATCGTGTTCCTTTATTGCTTTGTTTATAAAACACAGCGTCTCTATTAGGAAAGGGTTTTAATGCCTCTTCATTGTCATTAACCAACTCCAATATATCTTCATATCTAGATCTTCTGTGAAATTGTATTCCAGCATTTTTAACTACCATTCTTTTTTATATATTGTTTTAGAAAATAGCCTCGCTTAATTCGCTTAATGTATCATACCTTTTCTTAAGATGTTCTAGAGAAGTCTCGGGTATTCGTGGATTATGCATTTCCCCTTTCAATCTTGCCATTTCACTTTCATAATTTGCTTTCATTTGACCCTCTAATAGTCTTCGTTTAAACGCCATGTTTTTTTCTTTCGCTTCTCTCGCTTCTAACTGTTTTTTCAAATTCAATAGATAGTCCAGATTTTGTTGACGATATACCAGATCCTCTGATGAATTTACCACAGGATTATCTAATGATTTTTTCTTATGTATTTTTTTATTTTTCTGAAATTTAAACCTATTATATAAAACCATTTGTATATATTATTATTTAGATTTTTTACTTCTAGCCTGAAACATAGCTTTACACATATTATCTGATTTTTCCTGTCTTCTTCTCATAATTTCGGCGTTCATTGATCTCATTTGCAATTGCAATAATTGCTGTTGTGTCAAATTTGCATAAGGGTTTAATGGTTGTTGCTGTTGTATTTGTTGTGGTGGTTTAGGTGGCATTGCTTTTGAAACAGGTTGCTGTTTTTCTTGATATTGTGGTGGTTCTACTATATTATTTTCTTGTGGTTCTGGTGCTAAGGGTTCAACATTTATTTTTGTTTTTTTTCTAGGAGCGTATTTTTTAACTGGTTTATCAATAATATTACTCGGTTTCTTTTCACACACGCTAGGATGACTATATCGTAAAGTTTTAGTCGTCATAGGTTTTTTACAGTCTTTACATTCTGTAGGATTTTTAATAACTTCTGTAATTTTTACTCGTTTTTGTTCTTCTTTCACAGGTTCATTTTTTTCAACTTCTGTTTCCGGCGGTGCTTCAGTTGCTTCGTTTTCAGGTTCATCGTTAACTACAACATTTTCTGAATTTTGTTCTGACATATATAACATTCTATATATTTTCTATTTAAAATCATGTAGCGTCTGTATTATGGAAGAGTAAAGAAAAACTTAAATTAACACCGTTGAAATTTATAAGGTTGCCTATTTCATCAGTTATTCTAAATGTTAGTTTTCTTATTGAACGACGCGAGACATTTACATAATCATAATCTGTAACGCCATACGGATCATGTATAATACTAGCAAATGAAGCATTGACGGGGATTTTTTTAACTATGGCATTTGAAAATGTTGATGGACTGTGAAAATTATTATTTGATAATTCAGGACACGAGATATAAATGTCTTGATGTGCTAATAAATTTATAAATCCAGAACTCCACGACACTGTAGAAGTTGAAAAATCTAGAGGTAGAGGTGTATTTAAAACACTATTTATACTGTTTAAATTATTCAAATCAACATTATTTGAAAAAGACCCTACGTTACTAGCAATCATACTATCAGGAAGAACAATAAAAATAATTTCAGTATAATTTGATTCAATTGTTATTTTATTTGAAATTGTATTATATGATACGGTGTATGTATTATCTCTACCTGTAACATCAAACAAGAAATTTAACTCTCTTTGTATTGTAGATGCTAGTTCCGGTGGTGTATAATTTCCTAGCGGTATTTCAACTCTTATATAAGTTGTTCCTGTCGGTGTTGCTGGTGCTAATACTCTATGTTGAAAATACAAATTTCTATTATTTTCGTTTATTGAATACCACGTATTAGGAATTGCTAACTCGTGAACTTGCATAATCGTTCCATCAGGAATTTCAAATGTTTCCCTTAATTCTATTTGAAAGTCGCTGATACTGCGACTGTTTGATGTGCGATATTTTGAATTTACATAAACCTTTTTATATG